TGGTCATAGCGTACTCGTTGGAGAGGGCATCCAAGAAGAGGTGCAAAACGAAGGTTTCGTTAACATCAAGCCCCCGTTCCGAAAGGGACTCTGCGTTGGCGAGCATACTGTTGAGAGCATGTTGCGGATTCTCTGCCATCGGGATCTTCTTGGATGTCAGGGATTTTAACTCATCCGCAGGCTGCATGGACGATTCTGGGTCGTACAACCCCTTCAGCTCACGGAGCGCCCCCAGGGGCGACTCAGCTCGCTTCATTATTGTCCTGTCTTTCTCGTCCTTGAGAGCTCCACGGGGGAAATTCCACGCGTGGAAAGCGAGCTCTACTTTGTCGTGCGGGTAAAACCTGGACAGTTGGACTTTGCTCTGCCCACTGGTTACGGGGATCTCCGCCCCCCCCTCCTCGAAAAGCTCAAGAAGGTTTGCTGTGTTCGCTGCCATCAAAAAATCCTCTAGCCACGAAGAAAAGCTCTTGGCGTCTCCGCTGAACGTGGGCGCTGTGTACTTCACGCTTTGGTATCCCACGCTCGCACTACCGAAGACAGCAGCACCACTTCCCATGGCGCTGCTGAAACAAGCTTGATTGTGAGCAGCGGCTACTCTCACCTCTTGGGGGTCTGAACCCCCTACTTCGCCGCTGTGTCGTCCCGAAGGACCAGACTCTCTTCGCAGGTCCGCTGCCTGCGCGCTCCCGTCGTACTGCACGGTCCCAAAATGACCTGCAGTGCTTGTGGCGACGCTCTCCACGGCGCCGCCGCTTTCAGCGGCGCCCTCCGTGGCACCGCCGGACTTCTCCTCTATAGGTGCAGCAAGTCCTCCGACCAGCTGCACCAGCTGGCCCATTTGCTGTGTCAGCGAACTGATCTCAGACCGCATGCTGTCGATCTGCTCGCTGCTATTTGTGTCTCCTGCCTGCGAGCCGTCCGGAGTGGTCCCTCCGGTTCTGCGGCCCGCCATCCCTAATGGACTCCCTCGAGGGAATAAACACTAGTGTGTTGGTATGTCCGTACTTCGGAGGAGAAGACACGATTTAACTCTCTCTGATTAGGCACCCGCGGGAGCGAGGAAAGGAAGGGAAGAAGTGGCCCTCCCGAATTCGGGGAAGGGGGCCCACACATAGTAACCTTTTTCAGGCATACGCATGCTCCTGTCTACGTACCCCCCCGTGCTGCTAGCAGATCTATCATGCTCGTATCTAGACACACGAACAAACACCAGGCTACTTTGGTGACTCACCATTGATGGAGACATGTTCTGTCAGTTAACCACATGGGTTTATATCGAGCGGCGGCATGGTAAATTACGTGTGGGTGACCAGGGACTCTGTTGTGCGTCTCCATTGTCCGGGGTCGTCGGGCATTGGGGGTCGACGTGCATGTTAGGATGTCGTCCGGGATCCGAATTCATTTCAAACTTGTTTTGGTGCTTTCACCGGCGGTAACACGGCATTGGGCTCGACTGGACTTGCAAGGACCACATACAGTACGAGACCGCGCGGTGACGGTGGATATTATGTGCTGTTTCACTCCATTGTATCAGCTCGCGCGTCGAGCCTCAAGCCAGACGCACGGGTGATTCATCTTGTTCGAGACCTTGATCGCAGATACTACAAATGTAAGGACGACCACAGTAACATCATCATCAGCGAGACCTACCTCCTTCGTGAGCATATCGCCAATAATATCTCCAATTTCATGAGCGGAATGACAGCTATTATCGTCCCAGGCAGATCGTTCAGGTCTCTGAGCTGATGCTCCAACACCAGCACTTTCAAGACAACGCACGATACCCAACGTTCGGTTGCAGTGCTTGTTTGATGATGCACCTGCCGCGTTTCGTTGCACACATACATGATAACATAAATAATCCCGGGCCCCGTGTGAGGCGGAAGCACGTATCGAGAGACCAAGACACGGCAGATTGTGTTCGTCAGCGATGGATTTCCGTGCGGTCGAGTCCATCACGAAACTAATTACACATGCAGGCGCCGAGCTTTTGTCCGGTAACATCGGGGAACAGGCCACCGACAAAATGCCTCAGCAGGTGATTTCCTCCCTCCCCCCAGCTCGCGAGGCAGTAATGGTCACGCATCCTCGAGGCAGTTACACAGTGCTTACAACTGTCTCAGGAAGTGAAAGCANGTTGTCGAAATATGCTCTCCCACGGAGGCACGGTGGCACCGTAGGTGTCGTATATAAGGTTATATCCGACACCGCCAGTATCTCGACGCAGACATCGTTAAATGACACGCAACAACGTCCGTTGTTTTAGCACGACTCTCCGCTATCATCGAAGCTATCGGGAACGTCCATCCGACCAGTGGTTGCCGAGTTACACTGTCCCACGCGGGACGGTGGCGCTGTAGGGCGGTGGCGTATATAAGCTTATTTACACCACCGCCCTTACCTCAGCGCATAGGTCGTTAAATGACACACTACAACTTTTACGGAACGCACACGACCGTTGGCTATCATTCAAGCCATCGGGAACGTCCATCCGACCAGTGGTTGCCGATGTATGCTCTCCCACGGGGCACGGTGGCGCCGTAGGGCGGTGGCGTATATATGCTTATATTCGACACCGCCCGGATCTCAGCGCACAGGTCGTTGAATGACACGCGACAACGTCCGCTGTGCTGGCACGATTCCCCGCTATTGTTGAGGCTATCGGGAATGTCCATCCGACCGGTGGTTGCGGAGATATGCTCTCCCACGGGGGCGCGGTGGCGCTGTAGGGCGGTGTCGTCAAAAGCTACTAGTATACGAGATCGCCCTTTGATCTCAGCGCACAGGATACCAATCGACACGCAACAACTTTTACGGTGCTTAAACGTAGCACAAGAGCCAACTTAACACTAGGCACACCTAAGCTTCCACTGGGTCTTCAGAAAGACCGAGATGGATCGCAAAGGAGTGTGGGCTAAGGCGTCAGGTAGATGACGACAAGCTCAGCGAGGATGTATGTGCTGGGTCGTAGAAGTATGTGCATGTGCTGGTCGAAAACAAATATCTACGTATCCTTACAGTACAGTCTACGTATTACTATTCCAACTGTGACCGCGGCAAAAAATCGTCTTGCGGCAATCGCGCACGTCGGATGGGGAGGACAAACTGCAAAAAAGAGTAGTGGGAAAAAAGTTGGAAAAAGCTCGCGGGGGCACCGTATTCTGATATTTGGATATATCGGAGAATGGTCCGCCACCACGGCAAGGTACGCCCCTTTTTTGAAAAATATAAAAATATGCCATCCTCACACGTACATGCACACGGGCAAGGGCCCACGGGCAACAATGTCGGCGAGAAGTAGGACGAGCAACCAATACTCGTCGACGGGGAACCCTTTCTACGCCAAGCTATCGGAATCAAAGGACGCGCTTGGAGCAGTCCTGAACAACCGGGGAGGGGACACACATGGCATCGCGGTGGAGCAGCCGCAGCTGAAGACAGCGAAACTGCGTGCGTCGAAGGTGACTGACCCCATCCTCAGCAATCCTCTGACGTCCCCATCGAAGGTGAGCACTTGGAACCTAGGAAGCCCAAGATGTGCGTCGGTACCTTTGCAATCGCAGCATATAGCTCATTGTTCGTGCGGGAGTAGACGCGCGTCGCTGCAAAAAAACGCGGACAGATTACAAAAATGAAAGAACAAAATAGGAAAAATAATACATGAGGGGAAAGAAGGAGGGCCAAAAAAGGAAGGAACGAGCCCGGAAACAAAAGGGGGAACAAGTGCCGGGGGGAAAAAAAATCGTGATGAACACTTTTAGAAGAAGAAATAGAACCTACAGCGGGCATATGAACTCCAAGATGTATTTCATCGTGAAACTGACACCATCAGACCCTTTCACCTTTCAGGAATCTTGAAATCTTATTTATATTTCGAGAAGTTTAGACGTAGTAGTAACTACTTCAGTATATACAATCGGCACAACAATCCTAAACCTGTCGGAAGAATTTAGGTAATCAAGAGACACATGACAGCGACGGAGGTATATGGCTGAAAAGCTACGCTATTTGGTCATTATCGTTCCTTATCATGGCCGCACAGACATCATCAGAGCTGAGAGACAAAGACCTTTGCTTCGACTACTTCACGGAAGCCCTTCTGCGAGGCGTACCGCCTGTAGATGGCTGCGGCGTCGGCACCCCCTTCATCACCGAGGGTGATGGCAACTGCCACCTGAACGCCGTGGCCCAGCTTTTCGTGGTGAAGAAAGTACGCGGGATCAGGAACGACGTCAAGACGTTCGCCGCGAAGCTACGCCTGGCCATCGTCCTGGAGGGTTTGCGGCACATCGAGGCATACGTATCCGTGCAAGAAGATTTCTTCATGGATGGGTCGAACTACGGGGATGAAGTGCGTGACGAGCTGCCGAAGTCGGGGTGGAAGATCGAGCCGGATCTAGACAACAAGATGCGCGTCGGGTCTCGTCAGTGCGCCAGGCTGATGTTCATTGCACAGCTCCGCCACACCGCCCAGAACCGTAGATGGCTGCAGCAGTTCGTCTTCCCGATCCTGGCCACTGTCATACAGACCCCCCTGCGTGTCTTCCTTCCATGTAAGTTGTTTTTTATTTTGTCTGTCGTCATGTCGACGGAGGTTGAGGTTGTTGTTCCTCTCAAGTCGGGTTGTTGTGGGATTTACGGCCGNGCAGCTTGTAATGTCCCGTGCCATTCATTGCGGCCGTGTATTGGCCGCAGCGTTCAGGTGTCTGGCATTGTTAAAGTTCGTCTCCGTATCTTCGGGCGTGTACAATGTTTCGCCGTGCCATGTGCATACCCATACCAGTTCAACACCTTGCCTCACTTCGGTTTGTTCGGCCGTCGGCCTTTATCTGTTGTCCATTTTGACGCAGCCCGCAGCCTTTCGGACGCATATGGAGCGACGTGGGATCACACCCTCTTCCGACCGCTCTACAGCTCTGGGCCGCCACGCCCAGCAGTCCATGTCGTTTCAACGATTGCCTCATCTGCGGAATATCGACCTAATTTCGAGGACGCGGCGGGTTGGCGGGCCCAGCACATGCCGCACCTGCCCGAGCTGAATCACTGGGTGTCGTTGTCCTCCGAAAACGCCGCCACAGCGCACGCGTCGGCCGTTGCGGCGTCTGCGCAGTTGAGGCAGACTGCATGGCAGACCCGCGATGATGCGCAGGTGGCACTGGCACTGGCACAAGCTCAACAGGTGCCGGGGCAGGAGGAGACTATCCTCGCGGAGGTGAAGACCGCCTTCAAGGAGGTGGGGATAAACCGACTCATGTTAGGGCAAGGTTTGGTCGGGGTTGTCGTTTGGTTGTGACAGTTCGCGGCCGATGGTACTCAGTTGTTGAGCGTTGTCACCAGTACGGTAGGAAGGCAGTTGTTTGCTGTCTTTGCAGGCCTCTTCAAACCCCTGCTGACCTAGGACCTCTCGTTTTCTTTCCCCGGACCCCCCCGCACGTCCAGGCCAGCGACATGTGCAAGAAGCGCGAGGATTACCACGCACTACTGACAGGCAACTACTTCGTGAGTTGGAACGTGTACCACGAGACTTGTCAGATTTAGTGCAAGAGCTCGCCTGTGAGCGTTTCGTTTGGGTGGGTTTTTCCATTAGTAAAGGCGGTGTGTTCTTGTTGGGCGTAGATTTGGCGCTTTGTCACCGCATTCAGCGCCAAATGCTCTCAGTAACCTGACGAAGCAACTATATTGTGGTGGGATGTTCATTCGGCTATCCAAATCGAACACCCGATTTCGACGTCCATCCTTTGCGCCTCGGTAGGTCCCGTTGGCGTCTGCCCAGGCGGCAGCTGAAGCCGACAAGGAAGCCTACAAGAAATGCGTGGTGAGACACCGACTCTGGACCGCGTAGTCAGGGAGTTGGCTGCAACAGTGTTCATTTTCGGTGGCGCCTGGCACTTACTTCGTGGGGGGTTGCAGTATGTACACGGTGTCCGGATTTCAGCACGCGTTTTTTTCGGGACCGTTTCTTTGTTCCTTCCGCCTTGCCTGTTGCCAGGATGAAGAGTCCGATGAAAGAAGGAGGAAAGCGAAAGCGGCGGCGGCGTCCCGGCCAAAACCTACGGAGCAGGGAGGGAGGTTGGGCGTCGGTGGGAAGACGGGAAGGGGAGAGTCGAGCGGGGGGGCAGCGAAGGGTGCCGGCGCGGCACAGGGAGGTGGTGAAGGCGGGGCGTCGGCTGGGAATCCGGGAGCCGGAAACAAGGACGGGAGCCAGGAGGGCGGAGGCGTGGACCCGAACCCTTATATTCGTACACTCCGGCGCAGGGCCAAAGGATATCAGGAAATGGCGGCCAAGTTCGAGTCTAAGGTGGGGTTGGAGTTGTGTGGATGTTCGGGGTCTTTCACGCTCCATGGCATGAGGTTGACGAAAATCAGGGTTTCTGCCCT